AACCTAAAGCAAAGCAAACACATAAAAAATATTAATGAACAAGTAAATTCAATCAAATAAAACAAAGAAGCATGGTGTTAAGGCTTGGTTGGTGAGTTCTTTCTTCCCCCCTCTTTTTAAACAAGAGAGAAATGTATGACAAGATATTCTTGAGAAATATAATGGACTCATTTACACTTGACCATCTCTTTCTTTTCTGCATCTGCTGCACATAGTTCAAGTAATAACCCTATTCAGGTTCTCAATGCTGCAGAATCGGGGGTGGGGGCAGGGGCTTGCTGTCTGACAAGAGGAAATACTTTAGATGGGCATTTGAGGGGAGGAGTACAGCACTGTGATCCACATCCATCTTTTAGAAGAATCCAGGACTGCTACTAATTTCAAAGAGCTCTTCTCCCAAAGAATGGATCTTTAGAATAGCAAACAGGTAATTTTCAATCTAGATACCAGCTCTCATGCTCTAAATAGTCCTGCTGAAGTTTTTCAGCATGGTGAAAGTGCCATTTTAAAATGCATTGCAGATATAAATTTATATCAAAGATGACAGAATTGTTAAAAATCCTTAATACAGTTATGAGTAAAAAAAAATACAGTCCACAACAATCAAAGAAGAAATAACTATTTCTAAGATATTACGAACACCTTAAAAACAGCAACATTTTTGAGAATTTGATGTTTATCCAGAAGAAATGTAAGAGATTATGTCTATTGTCCCAAGGAAACACCCAAGGCAGCAGGGAGACAAAAGTCTGCAAAATATCTCTATTGTCTCATAGCTAAAAGGGATGGAAGGGACTTAAAGAGATCCTTCAGTCCATCCTTCTTAATAGAAATACAAACACAAATATATATATACACATATACAGAAAAGGATTACATATATATATATTTTTGTGTTTATGAGTGTATACATAAAAACATATAGGAAAGAGAAACTAGAGAAGCTTGCCTAAAGCTGAGCTGTTTTCCTTAAATTTTCAGGTTAATTTTTAAGTTAAATTCACCAATTATATTTAAATTATATTTAATTATATGACCAACTTGATTTGAAACAACTATTAAAAATTCTTCCGATTTGTAGGTTCACTTGAAGTTCTCTAGAATATTGGGCCTAAAAAAAAAACCAAAATGAAACATGATGAACACTAGATTTTAAACAAATAAACAAAGTAATGTAATTATTTCTATTTCATTAATAGACATATTTATATTTCATTAATAGGCACAAGGTGGTATAATAGGCAAAAATGGAAATACCTATTCTTTAGAATGCACTAAGTCTCATGAACCTCATAAACCTCATAATTTTCATAAAATTCCACCTCCCCTTTACTAAGAAATTGTCCACAGAGCAGAAACTGCTTTATACATCTAATTTCATCATCAATCCATGAAGTACCACTCTTTGTTCCTCAGAGCTACGTGACTTATTTCTTCCAGAGTATCCATCTGATCTAAGTCATGCTAAATGAACATTCAAAAGTGAAAAAGCAGTGGAGGCAAAGAGTAAATTCAAGAAAGAAAAGACATCCTTAGAGCTAAGTCACATGCCAAGACCCACGATATTGTACTAATGGCAATGACAATTATAACTTGTCAGTTAACATCAAGTTTCCTGTCTGCTCCCTGAAACAAGTTAATAGGAATGACTGCTTGGATACATGTTTCTCCAGTATTATAATTTCTGTTTCATGCATCACACTAACATCAAAAATTCAAAGTACCTATTGTCATCAGCCAGACACAAAACATTCCACTTTTTATTACTCACATCCTCCAACATGTTGATTTAACTTCCAACACTAGCTAGTGAGATGGATTGGGATTCAGGTCCTTATGACCATCAATGTCACTTTTCATAGGGTTCCAAAAAACAGAATATTGAGTCCAACCTTATCCTTTGTTTATTTTTCACTATTATACAGTGTAACCAATTTACAGTTAATCTATTTTTCCCTGGATAAGTGGTGATTTTGATATATTTATTTATTGATATTTGTTTCCATCTGATATTAAAAAAGACCTGCAAAAGGAAGAAATTGCACAAAGAATTTTGCACGTCCTGCTAGTCCAGCAAGAATACTCTTGCACAAAAACTTGCATTAACATTAAATTTCTAGCAAAACCATTCCACTGTAATTCACAAACCACTTTTTCCTGCCATCTGTGGACATAACCTCACAGTTTATAGAGAAGGAAATTGTTGTGGATAAATAAGCTCAGTGGTACTTGCAGATCTGGGAGCAGAAACAATATTAGCTGTCCTAATGAGAAATGAGGCACCAAGAAAGCAAATATTCAACCAACAATCACAAAGAAACCCAGAGTTCTTGAGAAATGCCCAGCCTGGAATATATAGAAGTCATTTGACACCAAATGCTCAGTAATACAGGCACTGTAAAGCCAAAGACCGCCTGGGCACAGTACACAAGCAAAAGTAGGAGGCAAGTTCATGAACCAGCTTTGCAGACAGTCCATCATACAGCTTCAGATTTCAGTGTGTATTAGAAAGGCACTCTTAATTAGGCAAGTGAACCAGAAGAAGTTAAAAAAAAAGTTAGCTAATATCATTCAAACAATATGTGCTGGTGGCTGATGGAAATGACTGGATGCATTCATAAAACAAGAGAGGCAGAGGTTAAGGGGAGCAGAATATGACAGCTCACAGAGAACAAATGGGAAAAAGCCTCACAGCCTCTCTTGAGATATTAGCCTTCTTCGCATTAGCCACTGGATAAGGGTGACTGGACTGAGAAAACAACTACATTCAAATGCCTAGGGGAAAGGTCAATTGTGACATTAACAAAAGAATTTTTAAAAAGGAAAAGTAGCAAAAGTAAGAATAACTGAAAAGGGTCTTTTCCAAGGTATTTGACAAATCTGTCTACAGATGATGCAGTATCATAGCTGGTTTTGATTAGACCCTCCATAATATCACAGAAATTGCCATTGACATTAAGTCCAAAGAATGTTTAAAAGTCATTTCACTGCTATTAAGAAAAAGTTGCACTTCAAATAAAGTAGTGGATTTAAATGTTGTCTCAATGTTTTCAGTCAGATACTGAAAAGAACACTTGATAGCTTTGAACAGTCCATCTACAATCATGTAGTGTATGTATTCAGGGTAGAGTTTCCATTCATCAGAAAGAGGATCTGCCTGGAGCAAATACTGATTGTCCTGGAAAGAGCAATTTAGAGTAACAGGGGTTTAGAATTGCGCTTTCCAGTGTGTATTCCTTATTTCAGCTAACTGAGTCCAGGAATAAAGAAACTCTCACTTTGATGAAGTGCATTCCCACTATTTACAACATAATTACCTTTTCATTGTAACTTTTACAAGTACACCTGGTACTAGTTACTGAAAACTATTTCCCTTTGGAGTTAGATTTACATCAGCAAGTGCAAATATTTGAAAACAGTTTTAGCTTTTACTTAATCCTGGCTTTCCTAAGTATTGACACCTACTTAGTGACAATAGCTACTCCCAGAACAAAATATTCACTGGATCTACTGTCATGTCAATTATCTGGTAAATCTTTACTACTGTTTCTTGAATCATACTCCATAGTTTGAACATTTCACTCTTTTTTTTAAATCAAAGGATAGATGAAAAGATTGCTGACATTTTTTTCTTGATAAAAAAGTGTCTGACTCAATCTACACAACATCCAATTTCAAATTATGCTTGAATATTCTGATTCTCTCATCCACATTTTAAGCAAGGTCTTCTTGCCTGTTCATTACACTCGCAGAGATCTGCACTCTGCCAAGTTAGAAGCAGCATCAGTTGTTTGTCAAAACTCTTCATGCAGCATGGTCTTTCACAGCCTCTGGCACAGCTTTGTAACTACAGTTAAATTTGCAGTATAAGGAGAGTAAGAAAAACTCTTATTCTTTCTAAGGTTATCAGAAATATTTTTAAACAGATTTCTTCCTTCTTTGTTCAGTCTGTTCTGTACTAAACTCAAGTTTACCTGTTATGCTGCAATAAACCATTGGTCTTTTCATTTGGGAGAAAAGAATGAAAATCAAATATGCTCAGATTCCTAGTTTTAAAAATATCTGCCAAGTTCTCAATGGATTCAACCTTCTTCTTATATATAGCAGAGTCTGCATCCTATTCGTACATTAGTAGAGCTTTCAATGTATACAAAAAGTGCCAGGATAGACTATAATACTGAACATTTCTGGCTCTCCATGAGATGGATGACTAGATGAAAGTAGGACAAGTTTCTCTTACTGCATCTCCTCCTTTGTCTTTCTGTCATAGCTTCTGTGTGAAATACTCAGGTTTTAGTTCACAGACGGTGCAGCCAAACTGGTAAAATTCTCAATGAGGACATTACCCTGTTTCAAAACTGGATGATATCAGCTTGTTCTTATTATATAACAATATGTTATATTGCTGTCCATTTGCAAACTAGAACTATTTTAACTAAAATCAATCTAGTATCACAACTTTGATTAAAAAGGTTCATAGTAACATTTACAGACAAGTCCAATATGTATCTGCCCAGTTCCTGAGATGCCATTTCCATCAGCAGGAAGAAGTCCCATTAGGTAATTTTTTTCTTTGTTTCTGCAAGGGAGGCTGATGCTTCCAATCAGTACTTACCCCAGTAATTATAGTAGTTTTGCCAAAATATATCTCTGAGAACTGGACTAAAATCAACAATGGATTTTATTCCAGTCCCTGAAAAGCATTCTACATAGCCTAGTAACAGAACTTTCATCATCCTTTACTAGTCTCATAAACCACTTATGCTTGATTCCATAAATTTCCTGATGGGAAGAGCTAGTTCTGTCCATGCATTTAATAAATTAATGCATTAGAGGTCACCCTTTTGTATTCAAAGAAAAGTAAACATACACTCAATAAGACTACGATGTATGATTAACTACAAACAGACTAACAACCATCCCACAGACAAGATAATTGCAAAAAATAGTTGAAACCAGTTTGATTTTAGTTTAGCGTAGTTCATTATGGTTATGTCGATTTTCTAGTATGCTTTTATATTCACATGCATCTGTTAATAAGAATCTATTTATCTAGTGTGTCTCTTGCAATATGAAAGCAGTGCAACTGCTTGGTGTTAGAAAGATGTTGTAAAATCTCAAGATATTACACCCCTTGGAGAAATAGCAGAAAGCTACGGAATCACAAAAGATTTTGTTATTCAGAAAAGGGCAATCAGACACCAAGTTAAAAGCTATCTCAAGTTACCTCATCATGACTACAGAATTTACTGAAGCAGAATTTATAGCAGCCTCCTGAAAACAAGAGCTAAAAGTCTTTGCCATCTGTGTCCTGCAGTTCTAGTCTCTTCATTTAGATCCCATGTACAATATAAATATGAAATATGAAATTTAAATGTCATTTCTCTTATTTTAAACCTCTGATGCTTCTCAGGGAACATGTATAATACAAACACACAATCCTGTTACACTTTTTTGCACGCTGAAGTAAAAATTCATGAAAACAGATACACAACTTACGCTTCTCTCTAGAATGAAAGAGAATTTTACCATAAAACAAAATAATTGCTAAAGCAATTAAAAGAAATTCTTAATGTCATGCAGTGAAATTTACTACTGTACAACCTTCTGTCTAAAATTACTTCATACCATCCATATTCCAGAAAATTATTACACTGAGGTCAGAGGCACAGAGAAGGTATAGATCCCGTGTCTAGCAGAGGTCCATTTCTTCATTATATTAATACATTCATTCCAATGTTCATATTTTTGCAAAACACGATTTGTTTCCCCTATCTGCAAAACTCTACAGAGACAAAAGAGATTTCATCTCAATGTCATTTCTAAGTGCACAATGTGGCTATAACTTCAGAAAGTGCCTGAAGTGTTTTAAGCCCCATTGTACAATGTTTTACAGCAACACTTACAGAGAATTGATGTGCTGAAAATGTGTTCCATGCCTGAGAAGTCTCTTTTAACTCATAAGACCATTTTAAACTGCCTGCAGTCACTGGTGTGTTTTCATAAAGTGTATCACATCCATTCTTTAACTTAAACAAACAGAAATATTTATAGTGATAGTCCCAGTTTTACCATTGTATAAGCAGCACAAAAAACCCCAAATCCACTCTCAGTGACTAAAGAGGTATCAGCTTCAGATTCACAATCTCTGTCTCTAGGCAAATACCCAAGGGCTTCCTGGGACAAGTTACACTTGACAAAGTGACAGAGGAGTCTCAGGTGCTTAATAGAGATGCTCTCATTTGCCCCTCTGTGAAACATCCATCTGTCTAGGAAGAACGAGGCTCATGCTGGCTGCAGGCAAGTCCAGTTATTGTTAAGGAATTCCACTGGCTTTTCTGACAGGCAATACTTCTGAAACCTGGAGAACTGCAGGGTGTTCTTTTGGCAAAACTTCAGCAATAAACATGGAAGACACTAAAACAGTGGGCTGCAAACACAAATGAAGACTGTTTTATAGTCATGAATTTCATGAAGAGGAGAGATTTATCAGATCCCATTTGGTTTGTCACCATGCAGATTTGGGCCCTTATTTTAAGAGCATTGTGAAATCTAATTTCTGCTGTAACTGCCAAGACAACCAATTGCTCTTTCTTTATATTTTTCTTAAAGAAGACAAATTTCTTCACACTTTGTGCAGAAATTTTCCTCCTCTTCCACATAATCCCTACAGAAATTAGAGAAATCAGGAGGAAAAAAAAAATCAATGAGGAGGATACTTAGAACAGATTATAAAAATGAAAAAGCATCCTCTGGGAACTTTATGAACACGTTTCCATATTTGTCATGCGTGTCAAAGTATACCTTTAACTGCTTATATAAGGATGTGCAGATCTGAGCTTTTAGAGACAGGAAATAGAACCAAATGTCACTGGCTACATCAGCTTTCTTGTACATCTATGCAATCTCTACTGTAATTATTTTCCATTGGAATTCTAAAGAACTGGATATGGCCTGTTAAATTTTTGTCTAAAGTTTAAGTGGTTTGCTTTCACTGAATTTCATCAGAAGGTAATTTGGTTGTGAAGAAAAAAAAAAAGAATCTAAGCATCTGCATGCTCATTTTAAACTGGAAGTTTAACATAATTTGAATTTCAATGAAATAAGATGAGAAAGTGTTCAGATTTCAAGTATTTTTAAATTTCTCATGAACGTTTCAGCAGCCTCCAGAACTTGTGTTTCGGTTCACAAGAGCATCTGCTTTTTAAAAATCTGCCAGTTTCCTGCTACTATTGCTATACTGTCAAGTTCCTTTTTATAGTATCTCCTTCTTCAAATCCTAATGCAGGGAGAAGAGATCTTTCATAATCCTGAATGTCTCATTTCCACACAGGCAATAGATATCATTACAAACTTGATCTGTAAAGAGAGAATTTAAAAATATTTTCCTTCCAAAGCCTGCATATTTGCCAGAAGGATTGGCAAAATATAAATCCTCTGAATGGTACAGTAAATCTCAGGATGAACTAAATCATTAAATTCCAATGAAATCTGCTTGTAATCAAGCTAGAAATACTTTGAAAAACTGCTTGTCTCATGGTTTTTCAATAATTCTAATTTTGGTTTTGTTTCAAAGCCAGAAGTGCCAAACCTGACAATGCATGAAAATGAGCAGTGTTCCAAAAGCCATGGCAGCATTTTGAGAAGATCAGCAAAAATCCTCTGCAGGTTTATTTTGACTTCTGTTCAGCTTTCTCCTAAGTCATTTGACTAATTTCAGTATGTATGGAAATATGTTTCCTTACTTTCTAATTACTTTAGAAACAGAGTTATTACTTTAGAAACAGAGAACATACTAAATTTCATCTCTTATACCTTAGTAATTGCAGGCTTGAAAATGAAGACACTGTTCTAAGCATCTTAATGTTTCTTTCAAGGAGAAAAAATTTTTAATTTCTATCACCAAGGTGTGAAAATTGACAGAAAAAAAAATTGCTCTTCTTGTTATTGTACAATAGGTACACAAGTACGTGTACTACTAAAAACACAGCACAGAAGAAAACAAAGAAGTCCTTGGAACTAAGCTCCTATGAAAATATAGCATGTGTCTAATGCTCATAGAGAAATCAGTAGGTGATACCCAGAAAACAGGCAACGAAAATTACTCTATTTCTGAAACTGCATATAAAACTGTAAAGAATGTATAAAATAATGGAAAATGCCTAAATAATTACTTAAAACTTATGTCAAACTGCAATAGAAATAAAATATATCTCTCTAGCCAAAAAAACTGATAATGAATGATACTAATTATTAAGCTATATTAGATTAATGAATTTAATAAATAACATATTTTAGGTAAATTAATATTTTTTAAAATAATAATTAAAATTAATTAAAGAGGGGAGATTTTCACTACTTATTGTCTTTGATTCTCAAACATCTCCTTGTAGCAGGTAATTTCATCATCAAATATCATCAGAACAACAGAAAAACTGGGATAAAAGCTAGAAGTGGTGGCAAACGTTTCCAGTAGATTACTAAATATCTACAAATTTGCGGAAAATTTATTGAACAATAAATAAAGAATGGCAATTTTATTACTAAAACATTTTATTCTAAACCCTGCATTTTTCCCAGAAATTATTCTGTTAAAATAGCAGAATAATCTGTTAATTAGTTGCTTTTGTTGTTGGTTTTGGTTTGGAAATAAACTAGGAATTGCATTAAGAAATGTACATAGAATCCTGGTTTACAGTCACCTTTATTGCCTCTTCATATGCAAGATTACCATTTTGCATGAATAGTAATGGCATTGAGGCAGAGATTATTAAGAACTGTATGATGGCAACTAATTTAATAAAGCTATGAAAAATCAAATACAGAAAAATAAAAATAATGGAAAATCTAGGTAGCTTCAGAATAGATAGAAACAAAATTATCACTAAACAAGATTTAACTTTTATATATATAAAAATAGATATGAAAATGCTATATTTCTATAATTAATTATTAGAATAAACTTTATCTTTGTTCTATTTGAAAGTGGTTCTGAGAGACAGTTAAGAATGGTGGCTGGAACAGCAATGTTGAAGACCCATATCTTGTGCTACTGGAAATCAGACCAGACAACCAATCCAAAAACACTTTTTAAGAAAGTATGAAGTACTTGGGGGAGGATAGCAAAACCCTCTAACTTGCATTTAACCATTTCCAAAGCACAGGACACTGAAATAGCAATCATTAAATATGAGAAAGCACTTTGAAGTAGAATTGTAAGACAGTACTGCAGCCTTGCAAGCAGCATTGGCCAGGAATGGATGCTTCTTTAGATATTATCCTCTGTAGATCTTAAGCCATAACAATGGGTTAAAAAGCCAGTGAGTTGACCCTGGCTGGACCCCAGGTACCCATCAACATGCTCCAGCACTCCCCTCTGCAACTGGACAGAGGAGAGAAAATATAACAAAGAGTTCATGAGTTGAGATAAGGACCAGGAGAGATCACTTACCGATTACTGTCACGGACAAAACAGACTCAAAGTGGGCATATTATTTAAATTTATTACTAACAAAATCAGAGCAGGAGAATGAGAAGTAAAATAAATCTTAAAAACACCTTCCCCTCACCCCTCCCTTTCTCCCAAGTTCTACCTCCTCCCTCCCAGTGGTGCAGGGAGACAAGGAATGGGGGTTACGGTCAGTTCATCACAGGTTGTTCCTGCCACTGCTCAGAGAGAGGAGAACTTTCCCTGCTTCCCGTGGGGTCCCTCCCACAGGAGACAGTCCTTCATGAACTTCTCCAGTGTGAGTCCCTCCCACAGGCAACCGTTCTTCACAATCTGCTGACATGGGTCACTTTTTCGTGGAGTGCAGTCCTTAAGGCACAGGCTGCTCCTGTGTGGGTCCCCCACAGGGCCACAAGTCCTACCAGGAAGACTTGCTCCAGCATGGGCTCCTCTCCCTATGGGTCAGCAGGTCCATGCCAGGACCCTGCTACAGCATGGGCCTTCCACAGGGTCACAGCCTCCTTTGGGCATCCACCTGCTCCGAGGTGGGTCTCTGCACCCCAGTGGTCCTCCACGGGCTGCAAGGGCACAGCTGCCTCATCATGGTCTGCACCACGGGCTGCAGGGGAATCTCAGCTCTGGCACCTCCTCCCGCACCTTGGTGTCCGCAGAGTTGTTCACATGTTCTCACTCTGCTCTTCTCTGGCTGCAATTTTCATCTGTGCAATAACTTTTCTTTCTTTTTCCTTCTTAAATACATTATCATAGCGGTGTTACTGTCATTCTTGATGGGCTTGGCCTTTGCCAGTGGTAGGTCTGTCCTGGAGCTGGCCAGACATGGGGGAAGCTTCTGGCAGCTTCTCACAGAAGCCACCCCTGTAGCCCCCCCGCTACCAAAACCTGGCCAGACAAACCCAATACACAGTGGTACAAAGCTCCAAGGAAACCATTCCGGCAGAATACAGGAAAACAGCTGTCCTAAAGCTCTGGACAGACATCTGTCATAGCTTCTCCACATACCCAAATAATTTCAGAGGTCCTGATGGACTGAGAGAAGAAAAATTCTTTTTCCTCTGGTCTGGTTGTACCTTTCAGTTAACAACACTTGGAAAAATATGTGATAGGAGGTATTCCTAGAAATTCTTAACTGTTGTGAACTGTTGTGAATTCTTAACTGTTGAATCTGTCTCAGTTTGTTCATGTCCAAAATAAGTCTTCTTACTACCACAGAATCATGGAATGGCCTGGGTTGGAAGGGGCCTTATGGATCATCAAGTTCCAAGCCCTTGCCATGGGCAGGGACAACTTACGTAAATGTAGTTATAATTATTCCCATGATACTGTGGGAAATGGCACTGAAGCTACCACTTCTTCAGCTGTCTACTCTGCAAAAGGCAAATTGCAGATGTCTTGTGGACAAATTCAAGAGATACAACCAAAAAGTTCATAGTGTGATTTTATATAATTTTTCCCAATGACACATTTGCTGTATTTGAATATGTATTACCAGCAACAGTCTCAGTTTCTGGCAGTTTGTGGTTAAATATCCCATAAAAGCTAACTCACTTCTCCTATTCTGAACTCACTACACTCATGCTGACAGCCCAAATTACAGTGTTTTATTATATTGCATCTTTACTGTGTATTTTATTTATCTCTGTTGTACCTTCTAGTATTTGGCATCTATTCAAAACCTTTACCTGTGTTCTCCTGCTGTTCTGGGGTTTTTTGTAGCTTCTTTTGCTTTGTATTCAGAGCATTATCTTTTACTTTCACGTGCAACTTCATTAGTTTAGAAAGCTTATGCAATCTCTCAATGACATCAAATTGTTCATCTGAATTGCTACACAGCTGCAACGATAGCCTGTGTATTAAATCACCAATTATGACCAACTGTAAAATACTGCTCATAAATGCGCTCTTTAAGGCATAAAGCCACTTTAATTTAGCAGTTAAATTTTTAAATAAAATGTCACAGTAAACATGTATGTTACCTATAAGCAATTCATAATTCAACTGGTTTGCCTACTGTCCATTTACTGTTTGTTAGAACTTCATGTCTTGATTTTTTATGTCTCTTCACAGAGATCCATACTGTGAAGAGTTAACTTCTCCCTGCACCAACTACTTTCATCAGCATCACCCTTCTTCAGCAGAGAGACTACATGCTTCCCATGTTCCTCAGCCAGTCATATCCTATCCACTGTCTGCTTTCTTCCTCTGCCATAGTAGTGTGTCCATTTTTTCCCATGTTTTCTGTTTTTCTCGCACAGTTCTTCCTTTGTTCTGTCTCTTCTCCATTACACATGGTATGTTTGTATGATAATACATTTCCTTCTCCTAACTCTTGATTTTATTTTTGTATACTGTACTTGTTGGGATGCATTTGTACAGCACCGAAAGTAAACCCAAGTTGTTCCTCACAGCAATTATACCTGATGGCTTTCTTTCCATTTTCCCTCAGCTTCTCAAGAAATTGTGTTTGCTGAAGCCCTGCAAATTCTCCTTTAGTTTTGCATAACTCAATGTTTTCAATCATCTCTTTTCCACCCTTCCCTTTTCCATCATGTTTTTCATTTTGCTAGATATTTGGCTCATTTACTCATATATTATCTACTCTGATACTTTATATTTACCACCACTATTTTGATTGCTATTTTCATAGAAATTCACAGAGTTTACATAAGATCAAAATACACAACTCCCACTGATTTTAGTAACTTCCATTGACTTAAATGTGAGTTTTGTGGCTAACTTCCTGCCAACTCAAAAAATACAGGGTCTAGTGAGTATAATCTGAGTTTAGAACCACTTATTTAGAAAAATAATCTTTTAAAAGCTTTTTCTGGTTCCATGGTCTTGCATTATTATGACTTTTAATAGCTGAGGGACCAAAAAAGACATTTTCACAGAAATTAGAGTATTTGAGGTCTGCATGTCCAAATTCAGAACAAATTAGGAAAGATTAGTTATTTTCCCCTGAGTTTTGTCCCTAAATTTTGCCCTTGCTTTTATCAATGCAACCTATGGTGGTGTTCTCTCATCTTTTGCAGATGAACACACAACTTGAACAATGAATGAGTCTATGAACAAAAATACGCAAATCTTGTTCTTTGTTTCAGTATTTGGACATATCAACTTCAATTTCCTAAATTCTCTCTTCTAACTCAAGCTACTAATGATGCTAAGACAATTATCTAACTCTACCAGACTGCCTATTGTTCATCCAGCAGAAACTCCTACTTTTACTAGAATGTCATATTATTTATCTAATTTTTCATATCTAATTTCTTTTTTTTTCACAGTGTTTCTGTGTCTGAAGTAGTAGCCAGGTGTCTACAGCTATAAGACAAAGAAGCTTTGTCTGAAAAAGTAATGTATTCTTATAGACTATCTGATATAACTAAGAAGAACAGCTGAGCTTTTAGTCTCATAACACCTTCATCTATAACTTAAACTTGTGTTCTTTTCAACAAGACTAAAATCTGCTGTTATTCTTTGGTAATCTAAAGAATATGTCCTTTTTTAACTCCTTCTTCATATATCTTTAAAGGCAGTTTCTCTAAACCTGGATATTTGTGTACCCATTTTTCATTTCAGACATCAAGCCAATTCTCACATATCTACAATTTGTAGTACAATTGAAGACAACGGGTTTTCATTATTTGTCATATTTGCTTTTAAAGTAAGTCCAGCAGTTTACAAAATACAAAACCAAACATTAGAAATACCTACTCTAAATCAGAATGTGTAAGTCTTTATTAAAGGCCAGACTGTGATTATCCTTTCTGTAATTTCAAGGGGAAAAAATAATGGAAGGATTTTATATCATAATTTACCGGCAGCCAACTGCTGCTGTAGTCCTGAACACTTCCAGTGAAGATCAAGGTGTTGGCAGAGTCCTGAGTCACCTTCTCAGACCAGTAAGGAAGCTGGCCATGGAGAAGAGAATTAAGATTCCAGAAAAGGCCAGGGTACTTTAAAGCAAAAAACTTTTTGCATCCCGTATTTCAGAGAGGTAATACATGCAGTATCACTTAGTGTGTGCAAACAACAGGACTACATTCACTGCCTACTGCTGCTTCTTTGTCAAATAATCTCTGATTGGAGTCAGGGTCACTGTATGTCCCTGCATATAAAGTGACTTGCAGCCACAATGCCTGGTATGATATACATCTGGTCTTCAAAATACTGCAAGGCTGTATTGTAAACATATTTTCAGTTATTAATGCTAATAACTTGATTTTAGTTTGGGCTAAGGAGATATATTTCATTTGTCCATATTTTTCAGATTTTCTTTCCCCACTTTTTCTTTACTGAGGAGACATCCCTTCCATGTGGAAGAAAGCTTTATATAAAAGTTGATAGCATTTATCCAGCCATAAAAGTCTTGGGCATTGAAAAAAGAATATATGCTAAAATTACTGATTTCCCAACATTTTCTGTTTAATTACAAAAAGGGTAAAAGCTACACATGAACCAAATATAAATACTTTTTTTAAAATTAAGTTCTATAAGTGCAAAAAATAGAAAAAAAGAAGAGTTAATCCCCCAAACCTGTAGCTGTGGAAAACAGGTTAGCTGCAGCATAATTTATTTTCATTTTGCCACTCTTATTTATACTATATCAAATTTTACCTCTGAGTCCTGAAAATTGCTCAAAGCAGCTAAATTTTCATTGTAGGTTTTCCTGGAGCATTTTTCAGGATCAGAGCCTGCCTCATCAGGTGTCTTACCAACATGAATTACACTAGTTCAAAGTACAATTCTAATACAAATTAATCACAGCACGTACTCAAATATTTATCAAAATGTTTCTCAACCTAGTCATTTCAGACTATAGAATTTTGAGATATGAAATAGATTAAATATTTTACCTTAGAAGCAGATTCCAGTCCTTTTGACTCTTGAAAGGCAGGATTTAATGTTGTTACTAAGTGGTGACCATTCATCTGCCAAGTGAATTTCATATAATGAGAGAGCTTTCTGCATTACAAATGTATGGAAAGTTCTATCTCAGAATTCAATTACAAATATCAATACTTGCTATTCAGAGCAACAGCTCCAAAATAAAGCTCTTTAATTTCAGATTATAATTGAAAATGTAACCAAATTATTGTGTATTCTGTTGCTTTTGACACCACTGACAAATACAGGAACTAATCCTGTACCTGCTACTCACATTATCACTAATGCAAGTAATCCCATTCAAATTAAGAATGTGTAAACAAAGATTATTCATGTAAGTAAAAATTACAAGATAGGGTGGATAAATCCCTTGAAATTGAATGATACAATTCATTTATTTAGTTTCTTTCTCTAAGGTATGTGGTTTCACATGCCCAGTTGAAGCTAAAAGTACAAGTGAGAATACAAAAGCCTAAATAACAGATACTGCACAAGGTGCAGTCAGCAGTGCAGATACCAGTTGTTGAGCTTATGAAAAAAGCAGCTCCCAGGATCTCCCTGCATTCCTCAGTTCATGTTCTCCCACATGCTCATAGTCTAGGAGGCTCCTGACTCAAGCAGAGGGTCAACCTTACCAGCTACTACTTAAGCAGGTATAGCCCACTGCCATGACAGTCCTAATAGAGGAAATGCGATAGAAACAAACACTTGCAGGATTATACTTAGAATTTTTCCTCTATTTTCCTGCCTCAGTTTTAGATCTTCAGACCACCAGTACTCAGTTACAGTACAGATGACTTACCAAGAAATGGGATTCTAACCAAGATAACAACATCAAAGGAGCACTTGAGTAAGAAAAAGTTTTAGAAGTCATCACCATTCTCATTAAAAAGGGCTGAATAAAAATGTTACAGATAAAACCAGTTAGATTTAGACTACAGTTGTCCAAGCTGCCTGGTACCTTCAAATATTAAAATCTTCTCATACACAGCTCCACAACCAGTAATGGACCATTCTAACCACACTTCTGCCACCTAGCCAGGAATGTAATGAGCACAGCTGAGCTGGTGAAAAGAGGATTACACTTCCCAGTGAGCTTTCCATGATTTCCAGTCACCCTGAGCCATCAGTTATGCTTCAATCTGCCTCTGTTGCAGCTGGACTTCTTGCCACCCTTACTAACAGTCCAGTGCTATGCAAAATTATCAGTCCTTCAAATGGCAAGGTAAAGGCAATTAGTTTGTAAGGTTAAAAGCAGAGTTTTGTGGAGGGACATCCTATTTTTATACAATTTCTTTAATAAGCAAGCCATATCTAGATCGAGCATGTGTCTTCCGTGCAAGAGTAATAATCACATTTCACCAAAAATTGAATAAGTCTATTGTGTAAATGAAGGACTCCCTAAGCACACATTAACAGGAGAGACCATAGCAATCTATCATCTCAACGATCCCTGAACAACACGATCTGTAAGTAATTTTGATAGAACAGATTGTGACAGCTTCATAGGAATTACTGCAAGTTGCATAGGCAAAAATCTACAGAATAAAAGGAATTGGAATAGGATGTAGGTTGTTCTGTCAATTCACATAAGATCAAGTATTGTAAGTGGCCTTGCTAAAATAAGTACTTTTTTCACTAGAATAAAAAGACATGGTGAAAGCACAGGAGTGCCTAAAGTCTCACATATGAGCTCACCATACTGAGAAAATCAAATTAAGATTTTGTTGCTCAGAGAAAATAGAAATAAATAAAAAAGATTTCTTTTCATCTTTCAGAAAAAGCAAAAATAAGCACTGTATTTCTTATCATATATACAACCAGTATGCATATATATATGTTAGCTTTACTGACCCCCCAGTCAACTTACCAGTCCTGCAAGTTAACTGTGTCAGAACGGAAGTCTGGATCTATTTTTTACAAGGAGATGTAATTAATGCATGACAGAGTCTGGTATAGGTGGAAGTAAGCGTGCTGATATTATTTGGGTTATAAATCTTTTACTCTCACCTCCTTCATTCATCTTTGTATATCATCTTATACAGCAATAGTCACAAGAAATTTGACAAGTAGGGCAATGCTAGAAAACTGCACAATCCTTTTCTTTGGGGAACAATTCTGGTTTTCTCCATTTTATGGAAGTCTCAAACAAGAGAATTACAATTAAATACTTCAAATACAAGGAGAGCAGATAGCAAAATACAACCCTCTCGTCTCAACTTCTCTGCAAAAGAACTACGAAGTTGCTGTCTGCAAATGAGTAGAATTTATCTGTCAGCCCATAGCTATGAATAGTCAGAAAAAAAAATTTAGAATAGTTCCAAAATCCTTGTCCATTTTAGTTTAGCCTTCATGTCAACACTTCTTTTACTACTACTAACATTAGTGTATTTGTCAATAGAGAGGTGTTTACATTTTGACAATTTTGCGTGGATAAAAAGAAACAACAGAAAGTTAAAAAAGACAAGCTGAAAGGAACAAATGTTAGCATGTCAATTCCCAAATGCCTTTTTTTTTTTACTTACAATGTGCTGCCTAGATTTTAGCAGCTTGATATTAAATAAATACTTCATTTATGTTCCCTCTCCTCTGCTCAGGGACCACTCCGCGTGTAATGAACAAAGGCAATTCAGACTGATATAGATCATTTCATCAGGACCTCATTGCACTTCACAAAAGCTAATAATGGCCCTTTCTCTCCCTCCTATAAAGTTCAGTGGGGGCAGATTCTCAGCACTGTTGTGAGAGGTAGGAATATGTTTCACAACTGTAACACATTACAGGAGACTTAGCACATGAGAAGCCAAACCAGCAAGTCCCAAAACACCTTGATAATGACTGATTTACCTAAATTGTAACACCTCTTTTCCACATTTTTCTGAAACTTTGATGTCTCCCAGTGTTATTATTCAGTAACTTCAAACAACTTTTGTGAGTAAAGAACACTAAAAATGAAGAAAGGCATATAACTTAGAAAAATGTGATGAAAGTAATACAACAACACGATACATTGCATATAACAGTTGCTTCTACAGAAAGAGCTCTATGGAAATGTTACAGCATTTGTATTTACTAACCTGTTGTAATCCACTGGGCTGTGTTTACTTTTCTGTGTTTGCCTTCCAACACCAATGAAACTCTTCCCTCATCACTGAATTTCTTCACTGAACACTTTTCCTCTCTGACTCCCAAGTGCTCTTTTCTCCAGCTGAGATGAGTAGCTGGTGTAAAAAGCTTCAGGGAACAGCAGAAGAGTTTGAGACATCAAAGGTTCTTCTATCCTCTTTCACAAATAAAATGTTTAATTTTGGCTACTTCAGCAGAATTGCCTTCAGTCACTGTCAGTGGCTTCATTCATGTGTCTCTAACACTGTAAGATGTCTTCGTTTTTTTTACCCAAAAAATAAATGTGTGTGCTAACAGACGCAGATTGAGACAACCAAAAAATAACTGCTCACTTAGTAAATAGTTTAGGCTGGTTACAACATTTTCACTTTAGTAAATGCTATTTGTAGAATAGCATTAATGGTGGCAACCTACTCCTTGTACTTTCTGTCATATAAAAACTAGAGCACTCAGTCAGGAATTTGCAGGTACTTGAAGTCACACATTTGTCTCCCATTTGCCCTCTTCAGAGAGTGCCTTCTCTGAGAACTTTTCCCCCCACTCTCCCTGAGATTTCAGGTGGGAAATTTCAAGAGTTCATTTGTCATTTACTTCCTTTTTTTCCATTAAGATATCAAAACTCAGAGCTCACTTTCGTAATTCAGGCAGTCCCCAACACATTTACAAAATGTAAATCTTATTGTAATAAATGCAAAAAGGTGAATGTTACAGAACGCAAACCTGATAATGTAGTGACTTTATCCTGATGAAGAGAGGATCACTTGGCACCAGGTAACAAACTCAGTGCAGACACAAAAGTGAGACCACAGCAGTTAGGGTCAGATTCAAGAATTTAAGTCTTCACTGAAACACCTTCACTGAAAATCCAACCGTGTCTAATTTCAAGATGCAAGTTCTTCTTTTCTCTGCTTCAGGGCAATCAAATGCAATTCAGCTTTGATCCAAACCCCCCATGTTGTCACAGCATATATAAGCTCAGGAAAAGGAAGGACTAAAACAGCTGTGAAGCTCTTGTGCTGAAGCGTTCTGTCCAGCTCAGAAGAACTTGTGGCTGTTAAAATCACTCTACGCAGGGAGAGACAGCTTGACTCACATGCTTATAGTTAAAAGTTCTTCTTTCCTGGTAACTTTGAAATCAGTTTCACTGTACTAAAGCTGTTTTTGAAAACAGACTGTAGCAACAATATGATAATGTGATAACTTTGAGTAATCAAATTTCAACTACTGCAAACAAGCTGTTTTCAAAAGTAGAGTCCTCCTCCCCAAAAACTGCTAATTACAGCCAAAACTTTCTGGTTTTCCTTGTCTCAACTGAATATACATTTTTCTGACAATTAATGCAGCACGGGCTACACTATGTTCCTAGTCCACTTTTTTTAAAAAATGTAAGACATAAAATTGTATTTAATTGTGTATAGACACAAATATTAAGGTGATTACACCATCATATTTCAGAAATTTCATTAAACAAATTCATTAAAAATTTCATTAAAGAAAATGCCAGTGCAGAAGCAAAGTCCCACTGGGTAAGAGCTGCCCCCTTTTCTAGGGTTCCAAGGAATTGTTGTCTTCTAAATTTAAAACACGTTCTTAAAACTTCTTAATGTATACACTTCGCTGGACATTTTTGGTTCCTCCTTCAAGGTCTATTTTGAATATTTCTGCATAAGCTCATTTCAATTTCTAAAAATACATACAATTATACCCGTAAGTTTGAAATCTTGCACTTCTCTATTTCAAAATAAGATTCCAGTTAATCATACAGCTGTGCAATATCAGCCTGTGATAGTGATGATGCCCCTGAAAAAAAAAAAAGAGTAACAATTGTTTTGCTCTACAATGCTTGATGTATAATAATCTGTGAATTAATACCCATTTTGTTCAAGAAGTGCATGAAATACAGAAAAACATATAAGTCTTGACAGACAAACTGACCAGAGATGCATGTGCATTACTGTAATATTCAGGGCATATACTTAGTGGTATCACAATGATCTGTAGTAAAGCAAGCTGAACAAATGAAACAAATTTCTAGAGCAGGAAAGGAGGCAGATGTAGCAGCTTTTGGGGTTTTGAGGAGGATCTCTTGTATAAAAATATCCCATGGATTGGCATCAATCTGCAGGTATTTTTCTATCCTTCTGAAGATTTTTATATTATTTTTTTCCAAATAAATTAAAAATGCCATACCAAAAAATAACCCCAAAAGCAAACTAACCAACCAAACAAAAAACCAAAGCCACAAAAAAAAAACAAACCAAAGAAGAAACCTTTTTAAGAAAACAAAACAAAACCCAAACAAACGAACAAAACCAAATCAGAACGAATACTTAATATCAGATGTTCTGATTTTTTTTCATTTTGCTTTAGTTTTTTTCCAGACAAACATTTTTGCCAATGTTAAGCAGAAGTTAGGGAAGGTTTGAATTTTTCAAAGATTTTTTTATGATAAGTACACAATGAACAGTAAAAAACATCATCCTACTCTTAGTGCTATCTTTTCCTCAACATCATGCAAGATGTAGTAAATATTTACATCCTCATGCTTCACTCTACTCCCCTGTATAATGATATGCTGCCATACCTACACTGTCTTTATCTAAAGTCTGATTCATTAATGATTGTAAGGAACACTGAGAAGCTCACTTAAAAGCATAATATCAGAAACAGCTTTTGCAAGGAGCATCATAAATGAAGTGTCATTATAATAAAATTCAAGTTTTCTACAAGAAAGAATACTATTACATCCATATGTATTTCTTACAGATTAGAAAGAATTATACTGAAAGGTTTTAACCAATAAAAATGTACTGCTATCCACGTTTAAGTACAAAAGAGATCATTCAGTAATGATTCTATTATTAACATCACATATTTGTGAACTGGAAGCCAAGTACAAGAACAGGCTTAAGCTGATCCTTACCAGACACCAGGCACCTGAGGGTTAAAATCTGCACCCCTGCTTTGTTCCTGCTCTCCTATGCCAAGGTGCAACAAAGAGGCCTAGCTCCAGGTGATTCCATGTGCCATATGTGCTGCATTTCCTGCACACGCTAGGAGTTGGGAACAGCATTTCCAGGTTTACAGCTAGTCTGATTTTTTTGCTTTTTGTCAGTTTAAGCCTGCCCTCTTCTGTTGTTTACACATTTTATTTAATTTGTGCCTTTTATTTTTCCCCCAAATACCAAGGACAATTAAAAGCATATAACAGGCAGGCACAGCAGGGAAAATGGAAGTATTCCCTCAAAGATATACAGCCAAATTCAGCCCTTTGCAGAATCTGCTCACACAAGCATGAAATTTTCACAGATGTCTGGGTAGTGCAAGGGTAGCATGACTGACATGTTCTGCTGTCTTTGCTATCTGGAATATTTTCATGGGTGGCTCTGGTGTGGGAGGGGCTTCTCTTTCAGAGCATTTCAAAACACAAATCCACATAGCCATTTCCGAAAGGGGAAGATATACACTAACAATGCTGACCCACATGCTGAGCTTTAGCCTCTCTGAGTAGTCCTACTGGCTTTGAAGGAGCCATTCATATGGAAAGGCATAGGCTTAGTTGTATGCCCAGATTTTAGGAGGTATGCCAGCTTTGCTGAGGCACCTCAAACTGATTAACGGGTTCTGAGTTCTACCATGGAGGGGCAACAATGAACACTGGAGGCAGAGACACTGTGGGTCATGGTGCAGCTGTGCTCTAGAGAGCTCCAACAGTGGTGATGCTGGCATGGAAGAAGAAAAAGAACAGGGAAACAAGACCATTCAGACAACAGTTTTGAGGCTATTATTACAGCTGCCATGCAGCACATCTCTACTAGAAGAACACTCTACATGCCAAAGGTAGTTCTTCATACATAGACTCTTCATGGAGCAAGCATACTCACCCAGATTTGCAGAGGCAGTAAGATGGCAATCACTGGCAGTAATTCTTCTCCTTCCCCTTGAAATTTGGAATGATCGTGCTCTAAACACTGCCAGGAACAACAGAACAATGAAATCAGTCCAATGCTACAAACTAACCACTTTTCAAATTTATTTGGAAATTAAAAGTCTACAAAAACAACTAGCATTAGTAAACATTTTGCATTTGTTACAAGTACTGTGATCCATATTTCCCCCTCTCCAAATATCTCTCTCTCTTCCATAAAAAAAAGACCAAAACATTTGAAAATAAATTACATACATAAGCCTATTTTCCTATTTTTAGCAACCAAGTTATGTGTCTACAAAATCAGGGCTCAGGGTCAACAGTGTTAATAGAAAAAACACTGCTTGCAACAAAACCATATATTCAACATCACAATCCTATTTCCACGTTCTGGTCAGAAAGACTGTTTTCTGACCACATTCATGTAATTAAATAACAGTGAATCTCTTATTAAATACAAGGCCTGATTCTCATCTCACAAGAATTGATGACAAAGTTGCTAGAGGAAGTTCAAAAAAAAATCACAGTTTATTTATATCTAACATATATAAAATGCTAAGTTTGGGGCAGAGGGAGGGGCAGTGTGATTGTTGTTATGTGTTCTTTTTTTCCCCACAGGAAAAAGATCTGGCAGCATACATCTGTTTCACAGTAAAACCAAGATATTAATATTATCCAGTAATTCAGCTGCTTCCCAAACTTTGGGCAAACTTTAGTGAAGAGAACAATACTTTTTCATACTTGTTAATTCTGCCAGTTTCTTCTTTAGGAATTTACATGAGAATATGTTCATTTTCATGCAAGTTAGAGTCTGGGGTTCTTTTTTCAAATAGCTTACCAGAGTAATAAATATCATCTGGTTGTAAAGCTACATCCTGCACTATGAGTTAGGTGCTGAGTGTCTGCTTATTAAAGAAAATACAGTAAACCAATATCATAATTGCACAAAATGAAATACAGATACAATTCCAGACAGTTACATTGAATGTTGATCACTGGGGAAAAAAATTAAATCTTTCAGACAGTGTATTAATAACTCACAACAACACTGGAAAAATTGATAAACTTATAAATAAACTAAAAAATAATTGCTTTTTGTACTGAACACATTCACTCCCAAAAGAAAAGAGCGAGCTTTCTTGTTACAAAAAACTACATGGGGGTAGAAAATATACATTCTAGAATTCCAGATGAAACCCAGAAAATTAATATTTTCTATTTCTCCCAGGAGACATTTTTAAATTATCAAGGTAGAGACTCAGTAGGAAGTTATTTAACATATGAGTTTTAAACATTTTATCTGCCTTTGGAGTGAAATTGTTGTCCTTGGCTGCCTTGATTTCAGCCACTCCTGAATCTCCTTTTGCCAGTTACCAACCATTCTTTCAGTGTATCAGCACAGGTCAAAAGATGAACACGTGCTTACATTCACTACTCCCACAATTCCAGTTCAGAACAGGCTAAGCAAATGCAACCTTTGTACTGCCAAGGCACTGGAAAAGGGCCTTTGTGTAAATCAAATGCAAGTCTTCAAGTTATGGCCTAGGGAAGACTTAAATAGTGCCAACACCTTTGAGTTACCCTCCATGTGTATCCTCAAACCACTGACTGAACTCCCAATGTCTTGTCCCAGCACGCACAGGATTCAGAGTTAACCCTGGAGCTTGCTACCTGAGAAGACAGTTGTTTCAAGCTCCTAGTCAAGAGTTTGGAAGTGACACTGACACAGCGATAGATCCTGAAAGCCAAAGGTTCAGTCTTTCAGTTGAATGGATGAAAATCGCTTCTTGAAACCTGGACTACAGATAACCTAAAACATTTCTCTCTCTTAAAGAAAAAGCGAAGTGTTCGAAGCGTTCGAAGTGTTCTCCCTTAAATGTGAGAGAGCATACAAGAGCAAAAAAAAAAAAAAGCTTGTGAGATATATTCTGGAATACTCAGAGTTAATTGTTTGACAAGAAATTCTAACACTGCTCAGAGATGATCTACATAGTTCAGAATATAATGCAATATGCTCCTCTTGAAAGAAGTTGTCAGTATCTGATGGGTTTTTATTACAATTGCTCACTATAAAAC